TTTTAGTCTCTTTAAGTCTTAGTCTCAGAAGAAGTCTCAGTGAGTCTGTTTCCTTCTGTTGGAAAGTTTTGCCGTTTCTTCCTAATTGACTGATATTCATGGATTTGATGTAAGTCTACAGTGTATCTGTGTGCTGTGTGTGTGTATTTTTCAAACACTTCTCTCAAATACGTCTCCCTGTATGTGCTCATTCTCCAAACGGGGAATTACCTCAACAAAATCCCATCTCCCCATGGATTTTCACAGACCATTTCGAAGGCCCTGCCTGCTCCCTCAGAAGTGGGGAGATGCTGCAGAGCAGGAACAACCTTAGGAGGAGTCAACAAAGGCTTAAAGGATGGAAGCCCCACCCCTTATTTACATATGGGTAAAAGGCAGGTCTGGCTGCCATCTTGACTTTGTTGACCTGCCTTGGGAGATCCTGGCTATAATCCCCATCGCTTTTGAGATTCTGTTGGGCTAGATCAGTGGCTCTCATTTTGGGGGTCTGTAGAAGTCAAATAATAATAACAAACTTTATTTTCATTGTACATATATACAACGAAATTGATTCAGCCTCTACTGGTGCAATCCATAACTAAAATACAAGACAACATGAATAATGTAGGAAATGGTCCTTATACACGTAATTAGAGAGAAAACAGTCATACGTTTCCATGTACGCATGGAGCAATTTTAGTTGTATTTAGGAGTCTGACAGCCCATGGATAAAAGCTGTTTATAAACCTGTTTGTGGGGCTGGCTCTACTTTTGTGTCTTCTGCCTGACGGTAAAAGTGAGAAAAGACACTGACCAGGATGAGAATCGTCCCTCAGTATCTCCCTTACTCTGCTGAAACAGCGAGACCTGGCGATGTCTTCCAGTGGTTCCTTGTGCCCAATTAATCACTCTCTGAAGTGTCTTCCTGTCCACGGCAGTTGAACCAGCGTACCACACTGTTACACAGCATGTGAGGACACTTTCTATCATGGACTGATAGAAAGAGATCATCAGCCATTGTTCAAACAAACAAGCCTGATACATAAATGAAAGAGCTGTGACAGACATCTGAAATCACAATTTATGGGTTTAGCTGTAAGATAAGATATCTTTAATATTCATACAACTGAACACATGATGCTAAAACCTATGAAGCTTCTAAGACACATCTTCTTTTTATTCAGACAAATGTAAATGATGGTCAGGTTATTTCTCTCTAGATCAATTGATTGATCCACTCCTTCAATTTATAAGGCCACCTAACCTGTTAGGGGAGTGTCATCCAGGTGCCCTCTCCCAAGTAGAAATAGGGCAGGAGGGTCTCTCCAACCAAGGAAGCGTCTGAGAATGTATGGAGCAGAGCTGTGGTCCTGGCATCAAAGAAGCTCACTCGTCCCCCTTCGCAGTTGAGAGAGATGCGGATTCTCATGGGCCTCTCAGACAGGACAAGTTCAAAGCATTTTGATGGAGACACGGCCGTGTATTGTCCTTCCCATTCCCAAATCTGCCACTGCCTGGTCTGCTCATAAACATTTTTAAAGTTCACTAGCTTGCTGGTAACCCCTACACACCACACTCCTGTAACACCTACAATAACATCCCAGAAATGTCGCCCTGATGAGAACATCTGACAACCAAGGACAGAACCTTTATTGGACCATCCCTTAAGTCCTGTGATACTTTTTCGATCTTCGGACATCTTAAGGAATTCAGGATCAGCTGTGCATGGATCCAGAGTTACATTCACTGTAAGGGGGAAGGGGAGGAAGGAAGGAAGGAAGGAAGGAAAAGAACAAGAGCTTCAGTTGCAGGCCTAGTGTGTGAAAAGAACAGAACAGAACAACAGCTTTATTTGGCCAAGTGTGTATCAGTCACACAAGGAAGTTGTCTCTGCTGTATAAGCTCATATTGTACATATTAATGGAAAAGAATAGTTCACAAATCATACAATCATTAAAATTTCCTGGTATCTAAGGTATATTAAGGTATTTAATCCTATATTTTTCTTTTTTGTTAATCTATGTTTCTCTTAAGGTTACTGGCATCACAGCTTAAAATA